AAATTGATAGGGGTCAAGTTGATAAATGTGGCTGTTGAATCCTATGAAATATCTCTATTAGATTTTTGGTTCAGTGCTCATTGTCAGTTTGTCACCATTCATTTGTTCTAGTATTTTTGTAGAACTAAGCATTGCAAATTGAAGGGCCCTAAAATTGATTGACTAAGAAGGAGCGTAAAATCGATCAATTTCACTACTTCAACATGATTTTCGTTAAGAATTAAAACCTCGCCTTTCTCCTTTAAAGGCTTTGAAGAATCGTTTATTCTTTGAGAAGATACAACTTGAGGTTGACAGTGGGGCTCAAGAATTGATGCGTATTCAAATAATTGGAGCGAGCAATAGTTGCTATACTCATATTAGTGACGATATTGTTGATGTGATCAAAGAAGCAACGCCTATATGATCCTAGAAAAATTAGTTGTAAAGATGAGCTCATACAAATTGGCATTGACTAATGTAGCTTTCCGTGTTGAATATCCAATGGTGTTAGAATTTTGGGGTTCGAATCTTTCAATAACTACACTATTTTTCATAGTTTGGTCATCTCATAGAAGGATACTATTAAAAAAGTCGCATAAATTTCCGTTTATGTAAAATCAGGTAAATGAACAGTGACAAATTGCAAACCAATCAAAAACCTAGTGGAGACTTAATTGGATTCAACAACCAGATTGAACGTGAGCTATTCTACACTGTCATCTATTTGCCAATCAATTTATGCACTACTATTGATGGATCCAAGAGGGACAATTCTTGCTCACAATGAGTTGTATATTATTCTTGAATTGACTCAACACCTAACTGCTAAGCCACCTCCTAAATTACATAAAAACCTTGTATATACTCAACAGTTGTTTGAAATATATTTATCTATAGTGTGGCATTTGTGTTGTAACCAGCTAATTGAACTGAAAATAAAGAGACTTATCGATATTTTCCTAGTCTTTCCAACAATCTTTCGTCTACAATTCTGTGGTCCTCACTGGTATTCATCTTTCTTCCCAGAGAAGGACCTCCATTAGATACACCATTCTTAGACATGTATGTTATAATCTAACTTCTTCAATTAACATGGCTATTTCTTCATAATTCGATTCGTCAATGTGTCAATTAGCAAAATTAATGAAGAAGTGGAGTAATTGTGAGTCGTAGACTTTGTTAATCAGTCCCAATATTGGTTTCTTGATCACCTCAGAACAATGGGATTCCCAATGGATGGCCACTTGGGCTTGGAAACATGAACATGAGATTTGCAGCTGTGACTGCAGAAGCAGTACCTTATGCTTCTCACAGAATTCCTTCATCAAGTTATTCATCGTACTCGTCCTCTAATCTTGACACCGAGGTAACATCTCATTCTTGATTTCATCATTTGAAAATGTGCATCTCCTTTTTCCTTAAAAAAAAAAAAATCATATTCAACTCCCTATGTTTTTCATAGTCTGATCACAAGCTCAACTGAAAGCAGAGTTAGCGTATTCAAGTTTATGTGCAAATGCCCTTTCTTTCCCCTTCGAATTAATTATAGTTCTTGAAAAACAAATGGGGATCTAATATTTCAATATATTATTTTACAGTCCTTTCTTTCTTAACTCGAAATTTTGGTGACAATGTTTCTATTGTCGTGTCTTATAGTCCACAGCATCTTTCTTCCCGGACCAAAGTGTATCACTAGGCAGGCTAATTGGAATCAGGCCAGGGAATATAGGAACCATGCATTGCCCAAACACGGTCATGGGCCGACAACATGGGAGCCTAAGGTCTCAGCCAGATGCATCAAAGTATCCTCAAGATTCTCAGGGACATTGTGTTGCATCAAAGTATCCTCAAGATTCTCAGGGACTTTGTGTTCCACTGCTAAATAATGTAATAGGGAAGATGAGCAGAAGTAGAAGCTGCTCAAAGCATCGGAAACTTAGTATAATTCTGGATTAACGTTTTCGCCTTACAAGAAACAAAGGAAAATGTCACTATTTTTCTTTTGGTGATACTTGTATAAGGTTTACTTCTTCATTTGAACTTAGGGGTGGCAATTGGGCCAGGTCGCTCACGAGCTCAGCCTAGATTCATTTTTAACATCATGAGCCGAGTTGGGTTCGCCACCAAAATCTCATAGAGTTTCATGATCCGACTCATGATTATGTATTATTAATTATTGTATTTTCCAAATGGATATTTCATGTTTATTAAGCTTGAAATCATAACATTTTTATACTTTAATTTTTCATTCAAACGATCATATCTAAATATTTAAATAAAATTAAATAACCATTTTTCACCTTTTCCTTTAAAAAATGGCTTAATAGCTCTGGCTCATGATTTGCCAAGCCAAGCTCTATTCGTGAGCCCAAAAGCTCAAAGCTTAGTAAGTGACTCAAAGAATGTAGTTAAATGTCCTCGCTCGATTCCACCTAATAATATATATATACCGGTTCAAGCCTCAACATTTTTCGTTGGGTCCATAAGGTTGGCCTAAAAATATGGGAAAATTACATAAATGGACATTGTAATTGGCTTGAATTGAATGCAAGTGTATTTGTAACCTATTGCAACACTACAAAACCTATAATCTATTTTTCAGAATACTACGTTAATTGTCCATTATAGGAAATAATAAATGTGGTGATTAAAAAGTAATGATATTCCTATTCACTGCAATAGCCATTATATGTGGTAACTTGTTATTTGAGACAAAATAATTACAGAAAATTAATGTCTAAAAAAAAGCTGTCAAATAGGATGATTATTTCAATCACTGACTACAAATAATATTACTATATTTTAACGAAAAGATAAAAACATAAGACCTTTCCTCGATTTCATTATTTGGGGGAGCCTCATTTTTGTCCAACAATTGCATTTTTAAATAGTGTATTGATGGGAAATGTGCGGTTAAAAAATAAGGAGAAATTTTAGATTTTTTTGTAATATTATTTTATTAAAAACTGTGTATTTGAAATGAGATCAAAACATTGTTCAAAAATGCATTTTTTTTTTCAAAAAATAGGGCTCAAACAAGGGCTTGATCTTTTCATTATATTTGCAAAATTTTAATTTATTTTTATCATTTGAAAAATTCAAATTTATTGTATATTTCGTTATTAAAACCAAACTTAATTATTGTATAATTGAATAATCATTTCTCGTGAGATTGACGACTCGAACTCGTTTGTCCACTTTATTACTTGTACGTGACACATACAATTGCATTTCACATTTTTTAGCGAATAACAGATCGATATCATTTTTATAAGTTTAGTGACCAAAATTCGACCACCTCAAAGTTCAATGAGCAATCGAAAAAGTTTTTTAAAATTTAGAGAGCTATGGAAAGACGCTTTCTTATGTAGCAATTTGATAACGGCATGACGAGACGTCACATGTATATTTCGTTAGTTACGACTTACAATACCAATCCCGTAAAAGGGTATGAAGTGAGTGTTGTGCCAGTAAATAATAAATAACGTTCAATATTTGAATGAGTTTAGTGGCAAAATTTGACATTTTAAACTTCGGCAAAGGTGAGTGATTACGAGTACAATTGATATTATTGGCCCTAAGCTAAAACCCCAATAAAACCCTACATTCGTCATCGGCGCACAAGATCTGTACTCTGTCTCACTTGCATCGTCTACGATGGCCGCCGTCGCCGCTAGGTCGTGCCTTCGTTCCGCCACCACATCCGCCCGAAGCGCTGCAGCCAGATTCTCTGCTGGAGCCAAGCCCAGGGCCTCTACCTCTCCCTTTCGCCCCTCATCTCAAAGCCCCCTCACCGCTCGTGTTTTCAGGTTATACAAACGTATTTCACTAAGTATTCCAATAGCGAATTACGTTTTTACCATTCATTTATATATCCACCATATATGTGTGTACTAGGTCACCGGTGGAGATGAGAAGTATTAGCGCAGTGTCGATGCTACCGTACCACACTGCAACTGCCTCTGCATTGCTCACTTCGATGCTATCTGTTTCTCCTCGAAACCACGCTTGGACGCTCGAAGGTATTTTAATTTCGAAATATACGTATATGAAATTGTTTTTATGCACTTCTCTCTTAAGTTACATACCTATGTTTTCTTTTCGCTGCACAATATTTTGACAAAGTAGACAGTCAATATGATTTAGTGTTTATATTTTGTTAACTATAACCTTAATTTAGGTTTTCTTTTATTCTTGAGCGAAAATAGGTTTAAATTACTAGAGGGGATGTGAAAGCGCCGGAACGAGGCGGCTGGTATTTAGGAAAATAACTTTTTTTTGTGCTTCTTACTATTTTCGAGGTTTTCAATTGGTCTTTTGTGATCTTCAACTGAAAAAGGAAGAGACTTAATAGGCACGTGTCAATTATAAGTAGAGTATTGCATTTCAGTTATCATTTGGAAATATGTTTCTGATAGCTTTTGTTGATAAAAGTTTGCATCAAACTACTTCTTTGAGATTGCTCCTCCGAAACCTACCTTGTATTCTCTCAAATTTTGTTTTATCTTACTGGGTTTTCACATCTCTCTCAAAGTAAAAGAGGTGTATTTTTTTCTCGTCTTGTAGGGCAAGAGAGGACTAGATGAAGATCATAAAAGGAGGTGAAGTCATTTCATTTTTTGAGTCTAACGGAGATAATGAAGCATTTTATGTCTATCTTCTCCAAGATTAGGGGTTTGAAAACTCCATTTCAAGATATATCTGCTAATAAGCTTTATTGAATTGAGTTAGGAAGCTTTATAGTTGAACACTTTTCTAGTGAGTTTGCCGAATTTAGAAAAGTAGTTTTTTTGTTTGTATCGGGGACAACAGCACAGAAGTTCTAGGCATAAGTTTTGTTGGATTTGTAGCTGAGATTTGAGAAAATAATGGGTTATAATTGATCAAAAAAGAGTGGGAGCTTAGGACAGAAAAGAAGGTCGCGAGGGAGTTTTGGTATTCAGACATATGTGCTCTATAGAACTTTCTTTGTATATGTAATAAAATAGTAGGTATGTGTATTTAATAGTTTGTATGGATTTCATGGAGCCCTTGCCCTGGTAAGACAAAAACTTCTAAATTGGTAGAAAATATTTAAAAGTAGTTAATCATGCTACCTACAAACACTGGAAAACAAAAATTATAAATGTTGTATTAAAAGATTAAGAAAGACTGATTGCTAAGTGCAAGCTCGATGTGAATCCATCTTTATGTAAGTTGTTTTAAGCTAAAAATTTGGGCATTGAAGCATCTCAATATAAAAGCATATCAGTTTATTAACTTTTCCTGTCATGTCAGTTTTCAGAATCATGGTCAATAGATTATTACGCAATCACTAATTTGGAATTCGAAATGTCAAAAGAATCGTATTTGTTTCACTAGGAAACATAAAGATGCAATCTACAACACTGTATACAACTGCTCCTCTAATGAATTTTTCTTTGAGCTTATAAAAAAAAAATGAATTTTTCTTTGAGGGGAGAGTAAGGGAAGAAGTGGCAAACTAGTGAGAGTAATATTAGTCAGATGCTTTACTTGCTTCAATATCATCATATTCATTGATGATGGCCTTCTTATAAATTGCCCATAATAGTTAGTCATTTTTATATTATACATTTTTCTGTAGCATATCTATATGAATTTTTAAATTGAGCTTGAGAATCTAAAGAATGCTCTAAGTGTAATCGAATTCAACTCTGTGATTTGAAATTGTTGCTTAATTGTGAATCATCGACTATTATTTTGTTGTTGAAAAAGATAAATTAGTTTCAACACCACCAGATCATATTATATGGGTGACTTCGTCAAACATTTGAATTTGTCAAATTTTCCTGTTTAGCTACGGTTTTTGCTTTAATCATATAAGATCATTCTAATATGTGGTATTCGCTCAGATTGCAATGATGATGTATGATGACTGTTGGATGGTTCGAGCGAAGTTTTATTTACATGGACTCTAGGAGAATGCTGGATAAATAGTCTTGAATGAACTCTGGAGAGGATATTATCAATTATCTCAGTTATCCTTGTCTTTAAATTGGACTGTTAAGTTATGGCGAACAAAGCTAGTTGAGTTTCACATAAAAAAATGATGCTTCATGTTCATGGCTTGTGCATAACTTTGTTACATGTTTGAGCTCCTTGAGGAGCCATGGATTTTTATTAGTGCACATGTTACATGCAGTTGCAAAGTAATTTTTTGAAAAGCAATTGGAGAATCCTTTGTGTATTAGCTATCTATTCATGCAATTTGTCCTTTTATCCTTGAAACTGCATCTTTAAATAATTTTGAAATTCCGCAATTGCTAGCATTTCCAACTTTCTTTTCTTGACTCTGGCTTTTGTCTGTTTAGGGTTGTGATTTCTGCTCATTGGCTGACTTTCGGATTGAAGATTTCCAAATTCTACTTTTTCCTTTAGCTGAACTTTCTTGTATTCCTATTTATAAGAGATAATAACATGGACTTGGTAATCATAGTGGTGTTTGTTTGTTTGCTTCTTGCTCGACTTTTAGCCATTGTTGGCTAAACTATTTATTTATTTACGCTACTCTCCTTAAGAATTTTTTTTCCTTGTATTGTAGATGGATGATTGTTAGAATGTGTTAAGAGATGCGGTGCATTTCGTCATAGTTCCATGGATGTCAGTGAACATTAATACTACTGCCAGAGATGTTATTCAGCTTTTATTGCAGTAAATTCCGATTTTTAAGCAATATTCTAAAAACATCTTAGGTCCGTTTGAATGCAAGAGTGGAATTTGGGTGAAAAGAACATGAATTCCAGGGAATTGAATTATCTAGAATTGTTTTTCCGATAATTGTCAATTAATTGTGTTTGATTGATATAATTTTTGACATTGGAAATGTTAAAATTTTGGATCTTTTGGTATTCGTTTGACATTATTTTTCATGGAAATTGTCAATTAAGGGGAATTTTTTTTCTACAATTGGGTATAGAATTTGTTTCCATTGTCAA